GGACACGCCACTGTCCTACTCGGACATACACAGGAGGTGAGGGGGCCGCCAGGTTGTCTCCTCCTTAACCTGATGGTTTAGGGAGCTGGGTCCCTCATGACCAACCACATGGTTCAGGTGCTGGACCCAGAGGCTTGCAAAACATGCTGGTCCTGTAAGCATGCCCAAAATCCCAGGAGGGAGTAATGGAGAAGGGACTGCAGCGTGGCCATGCCCCATGGGGGTTGCTGTCTCCCTCTGTCTCTCTGGCAAATTTTAAAAAGGGATCCCAGAGACCAGCAGGTGTCGTGGTGGTTAAGGTGCTGGACACTCCCACATGGCCACCCATGGTTCAAGTTCTGGACCTGGTGGCTTCCTTTCTCACTTTCTCTCTCTCTCTCTGCATCGCTCTCTGGTCAAATTAAAATAAGTGAATGAATACATAAAACAAAATACTTCTTTAAAAAAAAATAAAAAATAAAAAAGGATCCCAGGACTGTGTGGCTGCTCTGGGAAAGACCTGGGCAGGTTTACAGGCATATGTAACACACAGGGGGTGGGGGTGGGGGGCAATGTGGCAGAAGCAGAGCCAGCTGGAGCCTGGAGGAGGCCCCTCCTGCCTCCATGCCAGGAGAGAGCACGGAGCTTGTAGTGAGACAGAGAGCCCTTCCGGGAGTCAGGCCCCAGCCCCCGCGGGCCATGGCAGGCAGGGCACCTCAGGGTGTCCAGGGCCTAGAAGATCATCTTCAAGGTACCGATTAATTTGTTTGACAACAGCTCCCCACAGAAGGGCATGTACATGCTGGGCACGCACGCTGGGTTTCAAAGGAACCCCAATCCAAGTGTGTATTTCATGATTAGAAAATTGAAACGAATCGCTGTGGCTCTAGAAAACACACCCAGTTCCCACCCTCACGATCTAGCTGCTCTTCTGCAAACAGCCTCTCCACCCCACCTGCTGACTTTACAAGTTTAGTTGAATTCATACAATTAATTTATAATGGATCTTGTTAGGACAAGGAAGTGTTTTATTTATTTAGGACAAAAACATTTGCAACATAATTCTCTCCTCAAAACAGAGAACCCTTCAAAATACACAAAGCAATCTCTATTTGTATTTACCCAGGGACATGAGCAGCCGGAAGGGGGTTGGGACTGGGAGCAAAGCCAAGAACTAATTCCACTTTAAAAAAAAAACAAAAAAACAAGAAACTGCCTTATAAAAAATAACAGTTTTCTACTTGTCAGTAGCTACACTTTCCCCCACTCCATGTATGAAAACGTGAAACAGAAAACAGCACCTGTGAAAACACACGTCAGCAGCATCCGTCAGTCGGGATGAGGCAGAGACCAGGGCTGTGGGACTCCAGCCCCTCTTCCAGGTAGGCCAGTGCAACAACTGAGTGGGGAGTGCTCCCTGAGCCCCTGCCCCAGCCTGCTCCTGTCTGCCCCCATAATGACGGGGAACTCCAGCAGCCCCTCGTCTTGCTTGGAGTCAGCTGAAAAACCTAGGAAGCAAACGCAGTGGTTAGAAATGTATCACAACCCACAGTCCAGCGCCCACCACCTGCAGCTCCAGTGTGGTCGGTCACATGCACAGATGGAGCCAAGCCCAGTGCTGGCTCCGTGGTTCAGGGAGGATGGGCATGGCTGACGACAACTAGGTGGAATCAGGACAGATACTATTACCGGACGGTCAACTAGGTGGGCTCTGGGGAACCTGCCAGTTAGCACCCTGGCTTTGGCTGGCTCACAGTACAGTAGTAACGCAGTGTCCTGTGATGCTAGACCGACCTGTGGGGGCCCCAGGTTCATATCCCAAGGCCTCCTTGTACACACTGGGCACGCATGCCTATGATCTCGGCTGGCCGGGTGTGTCACAAGGTCCTGTGTGGGATGCCTGTCTCTAGCTCTCTGTCGTGGAAGAACTGACTGATGAACAAAAAATAATTTTAAAAAATTGTGGCTTCACGGGGCCAGCAAGTAGCAATAGTGGTTAAGACTCTGGACTCCTACATGTGTGACTGCGGTTTAAGTCTTAGACCCAGTGTCTTAAAACTCACACCAGGTATGTGTGTAAGTGTGCCCAAGATCCCAAGAGGAGAAGAGATTGTGGCGTGGCCATCCCCCTGAGGGGTGACTTCTCACTTTCTGTCTGTCTCTGTCTCTCTGGCAAGTGCACATGCCCTATAGCAAACATCTCTCAAAAAGAAAAAAAAATTGGGACCTGCAGTTAGCGTAATGGCTATGTTGCTGGACTCCCATGTAGCCGACCACGGTTCGAGTCCCGGACCCGGTGGCTTAAACTCACACCAGGTATGTGTACATGCATGCCCAAGATGCCGAGAGGAGAATGATGGAGAAGGGACTGCGGCATGGCCATCCCCCCTGGGGGGTGATTTCTCACTTTCTGTCTCTCTGTCTGTCTCTCTCTTTCTGGCGAGTGCATGTGCCCTATAGCAAAAACCTCTCTGGAAAAAAAAAAAAAAGAAGAAGAAAAAAAAATTGTGGCTTTGAAAGTTGAAAAGATCAAATGACACAATCTCAGAAAATGAGAATAGGGAGACCCCTGAGCGATCCTGTAACTCAATGTCTTCAATTTTCGGATACCGCCCCACAATAAACGACTGATGTCTGAATGCAGCAGGGCTTTCGTCCGGTAGTTCTTCTCAATTGTTCCAGAGGGCGACACCGCCTGAGCCACTCAGAGCCAAAAATAAGCAGCTGCTTCTCGATGGGACACCACCACACTCCTGCAACAAGCTCTGGGGCAGCGCGGGTCCCCAGATGTGACCAAACACCTCTCCACAGCACAGTCCCTATCACTTGCTTTACACCCCAGGACCGACGACCAACATGTGCCCTGCCGGCAGACGGCCGGCGCGGTGGATTTCTCTAGGAGCAGAAGGCCAAGTTGGAGCGCCATTATTTCCTGCTGCATGATCCTGCCAGGATCCTGGGCAGACTCTGCTTCCTCATCTCTAAGATGTGTGTGACAGTAACTGCTGTCATCGGGCCAAGGGTGACAGTTATCTGAAGAAGGGCGCACCAAGACCTGCTGTGGCGACCCAGTCACAGTTCTGCCATTCTGCAGTCCCCCAGGTGCGCTGGAGCCGCGTCGGGGCTGCCACAGAATTGGTGCTGGCCGCACAGGCCCCTCCCATCCCGGCACACCCTGTGAGCAGCCAGCGTGTGGGCCATGGTTTTGTTTGTTTGTGTGGGGGTGGGGGAGCTTGAAGTTAAGAACAGCCTTCATTCTTGCTTGCAGAAGAACAATTTTTGAGATGAGGAGAGAAAACTGCCCGAGACATCTTTTTCCCTTGGGCAGCAGCAGCAGGTGGGCGCAGTGCAGGGAAGGGGGGAGACCAAAGCTTCCTCACGCTTCCATCTCGTGTCACATTTAAGGTGAGTAATAATCAGACTTTTTTGGTGCCCTGGCACGCAGGGGTTAAGTTCTAGTACACATTAAAGCTTTGAGGGCCAGCAGGTGGTGTCTTGGCAAAGGCGTTGGACTCCCACATGGCTGACCGTGGCGAGTCCTGGGCCTGGCAGCTGACTTTCTCACTTTCCCTGTTTCACTCCCTCTGGCCAAATTAAAATAATAATAATAAATAAATAAAATTGAACAAATAATTCTTTAGGAAAGAGAGAAGGAATAGTTACGATAACGCAGCAGGAACACATCTAGTATCTCGAGCATCTCGAGCCCACAGAGGCCGATGAAAAATTCCAACTCGCAAGTGGACAAGGAAGGAGGATGGGAACACGGACAGGACGCGATCAGGAATGGCCAGGAAGTGAGACTGCACGGGTTAACACGGAAGGCTTCTCGGCTAAGAGCCATCTTGCCGGTGTCTGTTGCCACCCCCTCAAGGGCTGTCAGCTACGTGAGGTTACTCTCCACGGTCCTCTGACAAGCCCACTCCCACGCTCCAGGAGACAGTCTCCAACTGCAAGTGCATCGTACCGAAGGTGGTAACGGATGGCCAGTCAGGATGGCCAGAGCAGCAATCGTGACCGGGAGAGAACTGCAGTCTCACCCAGTTAAGAGAGGGCACCTTCCCCGACCCCCTGCCTCTGTCTTTCCTACCCCAGTACTCCATAGGCGCGAGCATCTAAGAGAGAAGAGAGGGTCTGTGCTGAGGTTCTTCACAAAGAACAGACCCTTCAGTGGAACTTCCATAGCCATAGTCAGGTTGAGAAAAGTCTAGAAGAGGGACCAGCAGATGGTGTAATAGCTACATTGCTGGACTCCCATGTAGTCGACTGCGGTTCAAGTCCTGGACTCGGTGGCTTAAACTCACGCCAAGCATGTGTGCGTACCCAAGATCCCGAGAGAATGGAGGAGAAGGGATTGCGGCATGGCCCTTCCCCCCAGGGGATGATTTCTCACTTTTTGTGTCTCTTTTTTTTTTGAGAGAGCATCACCCATACCAAAAACCTCTCCAAAAAAAAAAAAAAAAAAGAAGAAAAGTCTAGTAGAGACTGAGGTTGAAGTTTTAAAAACAACAGAATTGGGTCTGAAATATTAGAATGACAGTTTTTTAAGAAGTGTGAGTAAGGGGCTGGCAGGTGGCGTGGGAGTTAAGGCGCTGGACTCCCATGTGGCCAACTGCAGTTCAAGTCCTGGATCTGGTGGCTTGTTTTCTCACTTTACCTTTCTCTCTTTGCCTCTCTCTGGTCAAAATTTTTTTCTTTTCTTTCTTTCTTTTTTTTTTTTTTTGGAGAGGTTACTGCTATAGGGCATGTGCGTTCGCCAGAAAGAGAGACAGAGAGACACAAAGTGAGAAATCACCCCCTAGAGGGGATGACTACACCGCAATCCCTTCTCCTCCATTCTCCCCTCGGGAGCCTGGACATGCACGCACAAGTGCCCGGCGTGAGTTTAAGCCACCGGGTCCGGGACTCCAACCGTGGTCGACTACTTAGGAGTCCAGTGACATAGCCATTACGCCAACTGCTGGTCCCTCTCTGGTCAAATTTTAAAATAACAATAATAATAAATACAATTAAATAAATAATTCTTGGAAAATAAAAAACAAAACCAAATAATGTGAATGACCAGAATAGAATCTGACCAAGACACCGCTAAAGGACCCACTACGCGGGAGGATGAGGCTCAGTGCGGCACAGCGGCCGTAGTTACCGTGACACACCGTTCATACCGTACCCCGAGGAGCTGGGCATCCTCAATAATCTGGTTACAGAAGCAAATAAAAAACAGCATACAGTGAAAAATGTGGAACACAAGATAACACGTCCAGAGCAGCTGCAACTGCAACAGTTCAGAAGAAATCGCTGACAGGTATAAATATTTCTTATGTTAATAAGCAGGAGTTTCAGTTGTAACCTATAAATAAATAAAGCCAAGAACAGGCTCTGGTAGCCTAATCTGGTTTCTTTTTACATGCTACATTCACCAGAGTGGGAGAAAACACCATTAACCAGGAGTCCTCTAGGAGTGTAAGAGATAAGGAACACAAGGGACCAACACATGGCATAATAGTTATGTCGCTGGATTCCCATGTTGTCAACCGCAGTTCAAGTCCCGGACCTGGCAACTGAAAACTCAGGCTGGGCATGTGTGCATGTGCCCAAGATCCTGAGAGGAGAAGGGGCTGCGCTGTGGCCATCCCCCCTTGGAGGTGATTTCTCACTTTCTGTCTGTATCTCTAGCAAGGGCCTGCGCCCTACAGCAACAACGTCTCTATTTTAAAAACGAGTAATGGGAACCAGCAGTTAGCATAATGGCTATGTCGCTGGACTCCCACGTAGTCGACCGCGGTTCGCGTCCCGGACCCGGTGGCTTAGAACTCATGCCGGGCGCGTGTGCGTGTGTGCCCAAGATCCCAAGAGGAGAATGGAGGAGAAGGGATTGCGGCGTGACCATCCCCCCTGGGGAGTGATTTCTCGCTTTCTGTCTCTATGTCTCTCTCTGTCTGTCTGGCGAGCCCACGCGCCCTATAGCGAAAACCTCTCAAAAAAAAAAGAGTAATAAGGAACATGAGCGTGTAGGTACAAGGACGACAGCTCTGGGTGTTCTTACAGGGCAGGTGGGGAAAATGAGACACGACGCGGCAGGTGCACGATCTATTCAAATCCAACCCCGTCGGTGCCACAGGCCGCATCCAGTGAGGGGCAGCTGTGGGTTGCAGATGACCGGTTTGTGATCCACACCTTTTATTTATTTATTTTTTAAGTTTCTTTCTTGAAGAAGGAGAAAGGGGGAAGTGGGGAGAGAGAAAGACAAGTGCCCTCAGCAACAGGGTCCCACTGTGATCCTTCCCCAACCTTCAGCCAGCCAGGCTCATGGATACACCTGTGTGCACTCGGGGCGGGCAGGCAGACCTAGGAGCTGCACCGACTTTCCACGTGGCTCTCAGCCCTGCCGTGTGTAGTGCTACCTCCGTGCGGCCGTGGCTGCACCTCAATGCCTCCCCGACCACCTGGCGAGAAGCCAAAAGCTAGATGGATAACATCAAGTCCAAAAAGGCGGCTTATCAAGTTC